TTCAACTTCATTTAAATCAAATGGGCCACTCATTGTCCTAAGATGACGTGGCCAAAATAAATGCCATTGAAAGCCAGCTTGGGCCAGAACTAAGTAATCATGGCTCAAACAAAGACAACAACAAAAATAGGAAAATGCCAATACACACACACACACACACACACACGCATACACACAGGCAGCAACACAACCACAATGGCATGCTGGCCGAAATGCTGTTGCGAGAGGCGGCAATTGGCAGGCCGAGTCGGTAAGCGGCAGTGGAGTGGAGAGGCGAGGCGCGGGGCATATGGCAATGGACACAAAGTTCAAGTGGCCAAGTCAAGACAATTCGAAAAATGCTTTTAAAAGGAAATCAGTAAAGGAATTTCGCTTATGGCCAACTGATTGTGCCAATGGCAGCAGAGTAAGCGGCAGCGCAATTTGAGCCAAGGACTGCGACTGCGACTTAGATGGATGTCAGACAGAGAAAGCGAAAGAGTGAGAGTGAGATAGAGAGAGAGAGAGAGTGAGTGAGGGCCAGAGAGTTATAGCTAAAAGCTTGGATGCTTGGAAAATTGAATTGTTTTAGATTTTGTTCCCATTTTCCGGCGTTTTCGCTTTCGCTGCGCCAAACAAATAAATCAAATTGGATTTTCTTCTGCACTTAATTTCGTCTAGGAAATTGCACAAAATGGCAAAAACTCAATAAAAGAAAATCGTAATCAAAAGCAGCCGAAAACAATCAAAAGCTTAGGCACAACTAAGTAGGCTTTTCACTGGGTTCAACACGCTCACATTTGCCAACCGAAATTATTTTTGATTAACAATTTGTTTCACTTCAAGAATTTAACGATTTTCAATGTCTTTTCCAAATTTGCTGCAAGGCGTCAATCAAGGCATCGGGGATACAGCTTGGCGACAACGCCTCAATGGCGTCGCCCAGCATATGGAGAATCTGAAGAGCTGCTGTTTCTTCTTCGATCTGAAATTGGGCTGCAAGCTAATTGCCCTGTTCGAAGCTCTCTCCGGTCTATGGCAGATATATCATGGCTACAAGGAACTATATGTCCACAAGGATCGTCTTTTAGCGCCCGAGTGGGTTGATACGAAAGTTACCCAGCACAGTGCACAGTTCAACTTCTTTCTGGCCCTCGTTGGGTTTTTCAGCGCCCAACTACTTTTGGCGGGCGTCATCTTTGTGAGTATTAACTAGCCAAATACTCGTTCTAAATAGGCCCTAATGTTAACACTGTCTGCAGGAGCGCAAGATGTGCGTCTTGCTTTGGATTTATGTTACAGCCTTGTGCACACTGATTAGCATGTTTTACACACTGGTCTTGGACTGCATACCCGAACTTTTGCTATTCGATGTATTTTCAGCAGGTTAGTCATAATACACCCAATACCCTTTCAGAACCTATTTACAGCTTAGTATGGCGCTTGAGTTTCACAAAAGCTTCTTAAGTGTTATCAGCATCGACAGGAGTTAACTGTTTGGTTACAGTGTTGGAAAATGCATAACTCGAAACATGGAATATCTAGATGAGTTTTCTATCATTTGCAAAATGCAAAGGTCTTCTAAAAGACCTTACTATTGCGACTATTTTAAATTGTTTTACAGCACTGCTTAGCAGCAAATGGCAACATTTTACAACACTATGCGCAAACTAACAGGCAAACTCAATGCTGAATAACAATTCCACATAAAAATGGGATAGCGTACGAGCCATGTATCATTTCGCCACTAAATGTAATATATTTCAGGTCTTGAGGCATATTTCATTGTGATTGCCCTGGCATACTATATGCAGATGCGACGAGTCGAACACACAGACGACGATTTCGAAGTGCTCTTTACGGCTAGCGAGGTATAGAGAGCACAGTTAACATAATAATTGTATTGTTTGCATTTTAATAAGACAATTAAATGGAATAAAAAAGATTCATTGATGCAGTTTCTCAAGCATTGCTTACTACGCTAGCGTTCAAGATATATAAAAACTAATTAGTCTAAAGCTTATATATATATAAATGTTTATTTGTATTATCATGCCATAATTCCGACCACTACAACCAATTTTTGAGCTATTTAAATTGTTATTATTGTTATTTTATGTTTTTTGCTCTAATATGTACAAATGCAATGTCATTGTTTTAATAAATTGTACTAGTTAAACATGCTGTTGTGATTATTGTATTATAAATATTATTTCGCATTTAATTGTATTCGTTTACAATAATGAAAACTCGCGAAAATTGGAAATCGTTACTAAAATGTGAACAATTGCATTTTTGCTAATCGTTTTATTACTCAAAAATTGATTGCACTGGCAAATTTGGACAGAAAATGAAAATAAATAAAACTGAATGAAAATATGTTTAAAGTTTATCTTCGCTGTGACGAAGTTTGAATACTCTTTCCACAATAAAATTATATTAGGCTGTCAATGGAATTATGTAAATAAGATTTTGGAAGCCTCTTCAAATATATTTAAAAATTTGGGAAAAAATTGTTTATTTTTTTTTGCGTGTAGCCCTGTGGAAGGAGCATATTTTGCCTAGAAATGAAGCATATGTAAACCAATTGATAATTGCATCTAGATATACGAATTTCTTACTTTTGCGTACGATTTTTTTGGAGGCTCTCGCGTGGCTGTTGCCGTGGGCGTGCCGCGTTTATTAGTGCGATTCTTTTTGAGTACGATAACGCGCATGGTGCACTGTTTGTTTTTAGTTTAGATTAGTAGCTACTGCTGGTTGTGGATGTGTGGACAAGATTCGATGGGAATTTGTTCGTTAGCACGACGTGTAAACAACAACAATTATTATTATTATTATTATTATCAAATTTGCAATGTTCGTATGCGAGTCCGTCAAATGATTTGCCGTTTATGAACGGAATTGCACATTCGTTAGACACGTAATATGATAAATGCAATGCGAGCCTTTTATTAGTAGTTGTTGCTTGTTTTTTTTTTTTTTTTTTTTTTTTTTTTGTTTTTTACATATAATTAAGTGAACTACTTTCTATAGATTATAGCAAAGTGGATTAGTTTGGTATTTACAGTACAGTAGCGAGAGCAAGTAGTAGCATTGTTTGGTTTCAATTTCTATTTATAGTTGAGTAGGTGGCTCTAGGATATGTATTTAGTAGGTGAGCTGGGTGAAAGTGTGTTCGAGATAAATGTATTTCTATATAGCTATTGCTATTGCTATTGCTATTTGCTGCTAAGAATTTTGTACAAGCTTGTGTGTATGTGTGTAGGTTTGTAGGTGTGTGTGTGTGTGTGGGTGTTTGCTTATTCTCGTCTGGTTTGCCAACCGACTTGTGTTAACTATTTTTAGTATGCACTAATTACGAAATTACTGAAAAGCAAGCAAAACGTATCGAAGAAAACTGACAGAGTGTGCTACACAGTAAATTATTATGATTGTAAAAATTAATTAAATTCTTAAATTCATTTCATATTGCATTTTAATTTGCATAAACGCAGCAAATACGTTTTGGCGCACGGTGCGTATGCGTGTTATTTGTTTATGTTAGTTTCTTAAAGAAAGCTAAGAAATTCTTATTTTACAATATGCTGCCTACGCGTATGTATTTAATTTGTTATCGCTTTTTTTTTTTTTGTTGATCAACGACATTTGTTATGCTTTACTTACGGTCAAGTCAAGATTTATATAGAGTTTTTGTTTTCTTTAAGTTTTGAGTTAGATTTTGAGTAAACGCCTTAAGGGAACTGAACACAAAAGCCTGCCTGTCCTGCGCTCTAAAATGTATATTGACTGTGGTCTGAGGATAACAAGGTTTGTTGTTGTTATTATTTTGGTTGTTGTTGTTGTTGTTGGGACAACGCCTTAGACTAAAACAAATGCCAGCGCATTTCTCATGGGTAATTCGCAGACGTGTGCCCGAGTTGTATTTTTTTTGGCCAGCCAATCAAAGGCCAATTCTCAGACGCGACGCTTTCGATTTGTCGTACGGATGCGGATGCGGATCACTCAGCAGCTAGTGGCAGCAACAACAAGCGTGTGGCGCGACGCGCGTTATCAGCAATGTTCAGATGCAGGCACGTGACTGACTTGCTGCGAGGCTTGCACGTTGCTTTTATAAACAGCATACGAGGCAGCAGCAGCAGCAGCAGCAGCAGCAGCAACAGCAGCAGCAGAGGCAGCGCGACGACAACGATCTGGCAACGCTGCGCATGCACATGTTCTACGAAGGCGCGTTCTCACTCTCTTACTACTCCCACGCTCGCGCTCTCTCGTGGGTTTTGCCGAATCGAACAGCTGTTTTTGAATGGACTTCTAGTTGTACGCCTTGCGCTTCTTTCAGCAACAACAAACAAACAAACAAACAATTCGCACGCCTGTCTTAGCTTAGAGTTGACATGAACAGTGTCACCCAAAAAAAAAATGCTCACACACACACATACACACTGGTTATATCTTTTAGTTGTAGACCAAAACAAGTTAAACACGTGCGGTTGACATCGTTTATTGTCGTTTAGTTCGTATTTCAGTTTTGTGGTGCTCGTCACAGGCCGTCGTCACACACACTGACCTAACGCTAGCTCCTCTACCGCAGAACTAAACGAAGGACGAACACTTCCGGAGTTATGCTCCGTGCAGCATTTAGGGAATTTGAACATATTTTGGGCACATGCGCAATGTACCGGGGTTCCAACTAAACTGAATGTCAAAACTAACACAGCTGTTTGACCTACATACCGAGTGCATATGTACTTTAAAGTATGCACGCACTTATATTCAGCACTGTTAGCTGTTGAGAGAAGCTAAGGCGCACTCCAGAAACAAATTCTTTTAGAAAAAACCAATAAGGATTAGACAAATGAAGTAAATATTTGAAAGCTGTAAAAGCTCTTCCGCATCAACAGGTGTTAAGACCAAAAAGCTGCCACAAAAAGCTGCACTGCAAGTTCAACACATTTGCCAAGCTTTAAGCTTGGGTTCGTGCATCGGCTAATGTTAGTTTATTCACCACACATAAAACTCACCTGTGCACGTATGGCAGCGAGGTGTATTTGCTTGGCGCGCAAATCAAATTTCTTCATGGACAAATCCTCTTGTAGCTCGTTAACCTTGTTGTACAGTTGACCCTCAATGCCGCGTGTTTGTGTGCGATTCAGTGCATCAATGGAGTCCTGCACACACACATAAAAATATATACACATATAAATAAACTGAAGAAACACATGTATATGGCGTAGACTTGTAGCACACACCTGCAGCTGACGTATTTGCAATTCCAATTCAATTGCCTCACGCTTAAGCGACTCCAGTGCGGAGCGCTGCGACAGCGTCGAGTGCCGGTCAAAGACGAGCTCGTTGCGCAAAATGGGTGTCATCTCCTGTGTAAGAGTCGTGTGTCAGTGTGTAACGATAATGTATAATTTGTGTGTGTGTGTGTGTGTGCTTACATTATAGTCACCCGTCTCCTCGGACGGCTCGCCCGGCTGCTGTGCCTGTGGTGGGGCGAAGACGCGTTTGGGCACCTTCTGTGCCTGCGATGGCTGCGCCAGCAAACGCACAAAATTCACCAGATCCTGTTGCGGCGACACGGCGCTACACTGGCTGGCCAGGCAGCCGTAGCGCTTCGCCTGCTCCGCGGCCTAAATGTGTATATATATGGAAATAAAAACAAACAGCATTTAATAGTCATGAGCATTTGCTGGCGCAAGTGTTTGATGTCCGCGCGCGCACGCACCGAACATTATATAAATTACCTGCGCAATTTGCGCACCTCGCAATTATGAGCAATTATTATAATGGTGATGATGAAATTGTATTTGAGGACGAGTGCTAATTGTAACTCAGATTCCAGTCATGGCAAATGTGTGAGGTTTTTGCAACAACCACCTGCTGCACACTACCCAGCCATTGCACTCTGCACTGCAGTGGCAACAAATTGCTGCACGTAGCCATAAATCGAGATAATGCGACTCACCTTGCTGGCAATTACATCGGCGCCCTGCAGCAGCGAATCGGAAACAATGTTGCATAGGTCGTTGTGTATCTCCTCCAGTTCCTGCATCAATTGTGGCAATGTGTCGCCGTGATAGGCCTCCAGCATGCCATTGGTGGCATGCAACTGCTGCACGTACGCATTGTGCGCATCAATATATTCGGTGAGCGAGTGCTGGCTGGGATTCTGGCGATGTGCCATGTGGCACTGCTTGTAGTCCAGGCGACACTGCAATACACAGCAAAATAAAATGAAAACCAACGGAAAACAATAAAGAAATGTGCAATTATCAAGGAGCATGCGACAGCATTGCGTATGCGTAATACATATACATATATATATATATATATATATGACTGTGTCGTGTACGTGCGGCTTAAAGTCCTTTGCTGTTCTTTCATGCACGACTGTAGCCACACGCTGAGCCGCTTAATAAGCCAACTGCCAGGCAACATTAAGTGCAGCTCATTAATAACAAGCGCTTGACATGCCACTTAATTATGTTGCAAGTTGTTGCTGTTGCATGTTTGTAACGCACCTTTGACAGCTTCTCTTCAGTCTTTGCGATTATCGTCTCAAAAGACTCCCTGTGTGTAAAGATTTTGCGACTTTGAACTTTGCGATGAAAGGATTTATCCAACATTGGCCGTGACACCTGCGAACATACAAAATGAAAAGAAACCAGCATGAAATAAATATATATAAATATATTACACAGCTTGCGCTAGAATAGCATATTTCCATTTACGTTAATTAACTTTCCACCCACAAGCGCTTGGCCCCTTCTTTAACATGAAGTCTCTCCATATGTTCCAACTCATGGAGTTTTTCCGTTTTTTTTGTTTATTACTTGGGCGCCCAAAAATGCAAATCATCATGCAAAATGCAAATGAAAACAAACAAAATAAAGCACATAAAAAATGTAACAAGAAACATGAGAAAAACACATAAAAAAGCGCGGGCCACGAAAGCGCGACTGCCAGATATCCCTTGAGGTGTGAATAAAAAAACAAGACAAAAATTGGACATAATTCAAGCGTCAGTCGGTTATTGTTATAAACACAGTTAATAATTATGCTGCAAGCTGTTGTGGCTGCATTTAAGCATAACTCGGCTAAAGAGCCTAACTCTTTCAAGATATATCAGCTCTATGAAATTACTTAACTATATAGCTGCACGGAAAGGAAGACGGACGAGCATGATTAGCTCGAGCCCTTCGGATATTGCTGCTTAGTCTACTTATTAAGTCTTCTAGTCTATATATTAAGCGCAAATGCTAACTGTGTTACTCAACATACCCTTTGATTAAAATGTTGATAGGCGTTTATATTAAAAAGAATTACATTATGCGCCGCTTCAATTACACACGCGAATTCCCAGGGCACATCACACACACACACACATGCACTCAGCGCACATTAAGCATAATTAGTCAGTGTCTGTCTGTGTGTGTGTGCGTGTGTTTAATTCTCTGGTTAGCCGGCGATTGATTTAAGGATGGCCATTATTCAATTAACGCACAGAACAGCAACAATCTATTTTTGCTGCTGCGGTTAGCTCTGTACGAGTGTAATGTTTAACGAGGTCAACACAACTTATCCATTTAACTGTCAACGCGACACACACACACACACTCACACACACACACACACACACAGATGCGCTGAAAATTGTCTCACCTGACGGGAGAGCACACTGGCCACATCGTTGCAGGCCTGCGAGTCGGTTTCCGCTTCCTGCAGGAATGTTTCCCATGCCTGAAAAATGGCCAGATGGCAGGCGGGTCTGTGAACATAAACAGCGAACAACAAAAATTGTAAATCGTTAAGTGCTCCATTGAAAATGGGTATCCAGTTGCGGCGCGTACCTTTCCTTGCGCAGCTCGGCATTCTTTTTTCGATAATTGGACACTAAAGTTTGAAGGGCAGTTGCATGTTCCTCATACAATTGGGAGAGTGATTCGTTGAAATCGGATACTGCAATTAAATTGAATATATATATATATAAATAATTGTGATACAGGCACATGTACAAATGTTTACCAACAATATGAAAAGTTTGTTCCGCTGCCAATGCACGATCAGTGCACGCTCCAACTTGTTCTTGCATTTACTATCGATAAGTCGATACCTTTTGGTATTTAAATGCAGCTTGTATCGATATTTAAATATGAAGGCTGCCAGATCGCCAATTGGATAGTCGATGCCATATTTTATAATTTATGTATTTATCAATGTATTGCCTGCACAAAAACTAACCATGCAAATATCGTAAAATAAATAATTCAATTCAATTTACATCGATAGTATTCGCTTGCAGTGAGAGGCACAGGAATACCAACTAGTAAACGAGCTGACAAGCGAGCTAACCTTAAAAACGTTTGAAAATTCGAAGCAGCACTCAATTTGCATTGAATCAAAGCCAGAGTAAAATTCTGTATTTTGTTTGGGAGTCTTCTTTTTTCGTTTTTGCGTAAACCAACCCACAAACCCATTACACACCGGCCAGGACTAGCCCGAAGTCACTATGCGCATACATAATGTGGGTTGTGCTGTTCGTTTTTGCCTTTAATTTCGTTACAAAATTCTATAAAATGTTCCAGCACAAATAAACAAAAGTTAGAACTCAATCTTTAATCCGTTTTTTTTAGACAATTTTATAATGGAATTAGTAAAATCTATTCCATATTTATTTAAAACATTTTGAGACCATGATGCAGCATCATCGGATAAGATTTAAGCTGAGCCGAGTTAAACTCAAATCCTTGTATAGAGAGAAAGAATTAAAGAAATTTTAGCATTTAGCAAAAGTGCAGCAAGAAAATGTTTCGATTAGCAGCAAAATGCATTAGAAGCTCTGCTACAGGCTTTTGCCCAGCTTCAGGCTAAAATGTGCACATATTTAGAGTGCCAGCTGAATGTTTAAGCTGCAATAAGCCAAGGATTTAACTGATTTTTAGTAGTCCAGGTATTTCATCAACACAATGTGCGCGCTGCCCTTCGCATGCCGTACGCTGCGTATACTTAATGGGAAAAAGGCTGCTCGTAAAAGCATGAATAGCTGCGTCATATGAGAAAACTGTCTGTCATCGCTGTAATCCATCACATTTACGACTATTTAAATATATGTTTATATATGTAGCTGGGGCTGGCTTTTAACTTTTAGCCGACCCGCCGTACCACCTGCCCACTTTATGTGCCATAAACATTTTTTTTATTGACATGCGGCAACAAGTAGCCGCATTACAGCAGCTGCATTTGATCAAAACCTGAGAAATTTGTAAGCCTATTTGACTGCAAAGGAAATTTCTAGCAACGAAACCGAGTATTTCCCGGAAACAGCAGCAATCAACTTCTGGGCTATCGATACCTGCAACTGCAGTTGCAGCTGCCACACTGATTCCCTGGCCAAAGGCAAATCATGTATTGGCCTTTGCCCTGTACAAAGAAATGTTATTAAAAAGTTTTCCCCCAACTCGCTGGGAGAGTTGAAATTACAAACGGGTGGCCCAAATGCAATTTCTGCTCAGTTTGTGTTTGTTGCTTTTGGCAGGTTGTGTGTAACTTTTAGTGACACAAGTCAAAGTTATGCTCGTGCTTTGAAATGTTGTGCGTCCTGGCAGATGCGACAAATAACGCAAGCAAGTGTAAACAAATCTATAGCGCCTGACTGCGAGTTACCCTGTATTTAACCTAACATCCATTTCTACTAATCTCTGGACAAACTCATACAAATATATCGATAGGTTTTCATTACGCTCGATAATATCGACAGTCGTGCAATAGACCGTAAGTAATAGAAAGTGTTGCCAGCTGTCATTTTAAAAAAGTGGCTTAATGCCATGTTAATAACAGCTGAAGAAGCTTTTAGAACATTAAAAAAAGCTAAATCAGTTAAAAATTCTTATTGGATATATTGTCATTTAGCTAAAAACCCGCTGAATAGCCATCACTTGCAGTCACTTGTCTCGATCTTAAGCATAAGTTCATTACAAATTGTCCACAAAATTTCAATATATCTGTACTTTACTGCAAAATTTCAATATATCTGTACTTTACTGCATTTACACTCTGTGAATTTTCATTTCAATTAAAGTTTTGAGTTTTGTTTTTCATGTGCTGCACTTATTATTTATGGATTTGTGTTTTGATCTGCTTATACAAAACTTTGTTTGTAATCAACTTTAGTTTCTGTTATGGCAAAAAGTTGCTTAAGTCTCAAGTAAATTATTAAAAAAATAAAAAGTCATATATTTTTACAATTTATTTGCGGTTTCTGCCCGCTGTTTGCAATTGTTTTCGTCGTTTCTTTCTTTTATTATTTTGTTCTGCGTCAGCGAAGAAGGCGTATTAAAATACATCGCGTATTTATGGTTATTCATGGGAGTGCGACAGACAACAAAAATATTTCATTAATATTTCTCTTTTGCACTGCATTTTATTTCCAAGAAAAAAGGGAGCTGTGAATGCAAGGAACTGTATTATATTGAAGTGTCAACAGAAAATACGTATTATATTCATGCTTTTTCTTCTTTCTGTTGCTTTCTGTGAATTATGGCACCCATTTGCTTAATCACAGGGTATTAAAAATTGACAACATACCCGAAGGGTCAGCATGCAGCATGTGTGCTAAAGTTGAAATAAAAATATAGAAACTTTCAAAGAAGAAGGTCCAAATAGTTGGGGGACTCAAGCTGTAAAGCTGACATATCGCCATATGGCAGCCAGATGTTAAGTTGCGTTATTTATGTAGAGTGCGGACTTGGAAACGTGTCCACATCAATTGAATAGATTTATGGCCAACAATCTCAAGGTATCTGAGCATGCGGCAAAACAAAGAAGCGCTGCGATTCAAATCAATAAGCCATAAAGCGATACCATATAAAAGAGACAAAAAAAGCAGCCAAAACAATCGAGAAACTTATCAAATAAAACACAATACCCGCCCACACAGAAACACACACTCCCAATCACACGCCCACTCACTCCCCCACATTATATAAATTGTTTACTCGAGCACGGAAATCGACAACACAAATTTCCCGATAAACTCAACTGTTCGCTTTATCCAGCAAGTTATGCTGATGTCAATAGATTTATGTAGCTCATGGAACACTCACCTGTTTTAATTAACTTAAAGTTGACATTGTTTTGGGATTTGAAAGCCTCGTTCAAGCTGCTGTGACTGTAATCCTTGAGCACACCCTGATAGGACGCCATGCTGCCCTGGGGGCTAAGGGAACCACCGCGTGGCCCCCTCCACCCGAAGAACTTACGATTTTTTGGACCACTTGAAGATTTTGCCAAAGAATCTGCGCATGAATATAAAACACATTTATTAAACATTTATTGCAAAAACAAAACAAAATAAAATCAACTTTATAATTAATTCAAAACAAGCAAACGAAAAATGTAAATGAATTATATTGAAATTAAACAAAATGTAAATCAACAATTAAAATAAACGCAAAACGCAAAATGCAAACAAACCAAACCGAAAATGTATGCAAACAAAATTAATTTCATATCAATTTAATCGAATCTCAACCGAAATCGAATCGGCATACGAAACAGCTGTCGAAAAAATAAGTAAATAACTCAAATGAAACAGTTGCCCGTCTGGGGTAAGCGTTCGGTTTCGGTGCCCCGCCCAGTCCTGCGACCACCTCTAATAATTCCGGGCATCTCACAAATTCTTTTCGTTTGCCTCTGTGTTAAATACGGCCATGTATTCGACTGACGTGCCAGACAAACTGTCCACGAGAGGGCTGAAGGTGTCGCGGGAAGGTCGCGCGCAATCAAACAAATCGCTGCCGCTCATATTTATGCATAAATAATGAGTCGGAGGTGGGCTTCGCTTTGCTTGGCCCTGGTTTGGCTGGCATTCCGCGTGTATTTTCAGTTAGGTAAACGGAAATTTCAAGTGCTTGGGCGCCCATTACAAAAGTCAACAAAACAGAACCGAACAGAACAGAGCCTGGCTTCCAAGACATTGTCGAGGCTATCCAATTGCGGCTGATTTCAAATTCAATCGATAAATGAAGCGTAAACGCTTCTATTTTTTCTTTTCTTTTTATTTCTAGCTAAAAGGCTTTTGGGCGCATTTGTTTGACTGCTTGGAGAGCTCTAGCTGCTTAGCTGCCCAATTGTCTGACCACAGACACATAAACACACACACTCTCACTCACACACTCACACATGACCACACACTCACACGTAAATGGCAAAGCTGTCCGATTGTGCGGGCGCACGTGGCGTATGTGTGCTTTCTTCGTTGCCCGCAAAAGTGTGCTATAGAAATTATTTAGCAGCATCGAATTATACACTGAAACCACACTGTGCCCCGCTGTGGACATTATGAGACATTTCGACTGCAATTTGGGGGCGGCATGAAGAGGGCGTGGCCAGACAGCATCCCGTGGCCCCACACAACGATCACGTCTAGCGACCGCACGCTGTTGATTTAGTTTCTGCTGCTGCTCCAGCGGGTCATCAAATTTGCCGCGCTCTAAGCTTTGAAATGAATTCTTTCGTTGGTTTTGCGGCATCTTAAGGCGTGGCTCACGTGCCGCCTCCTAGCGCCAGGATGCGCGCCAACCGTTGTTGATTACACTTCACGCCCTGCTTAGCTTTGTGCGCTCGCTGCATTGCGAAGGCGTTCAGCGAGGATATGCAGCATGCCTCCTGCCTGATTGTTTGCCCTTTGAAAGCACTGCACAGCATTTGCCAAGGAATTATGTGCGTGTGCCCATTTCGAAGTGGAAAAACGCGCGCTCTAAAACCCTGTTTTGCCTTGCCGACGGGCACGCTATGCAAGGTTAAATCCTGCCAGCAAGCATGTGTGTGTGTGTGTACGAGTGTGTGTGTGTGTGTGTGGTGTTAGTTTGTGTGTTTGTATGGGAGCATATGCAAGCATGCACATAATCCACTTAGCATGCAGAGAACGCGCGGACGGACATCATTGCATGTGTGATAAGAATTAGGATAAGACGGCAGGCAGTCAGCCTGCATTACATTTAAAGTCAAGCGACTAAAGCACTCGACTTGTTCTCTGTTTTTTTTTTAGTTATGTTTTAACTCTTTATAAAGGTAACTATGCAAAGGTGTGAGATGAAAAAAAACGTAACTTTGGCATGCAAAACGCTTGCATATCCTTGCAGGAATTATTTGAGCATGGCTTAATGCTCAGTCGCACATTTGACAGCTCTTTTTTGAATAGATAATGAAGATTTAAAATGCTTTAGACTAACTTAGCTATTGTCAACTAAATAAAAGAGACTCTCCTAAAATAATCTTTAAAATTGCTGAGACAATTCTTAAATAAATTCTATACCAGATTCTACAAAAATAATCTTTAATTTGTTGAGAAACACAATTTTAAATTGAATGAAGACTGAACCAGCAACTTCACTTTTCTTCAACAATAAGCTTTAACTAGTTGAGACTATTATTTAATAAATTCAATTTTAAATTGAGTTCTTGGACAGACTGATTCATAAATAAGTCAATGAATCAATAAGTCACTTTCCAATGAACTAAGTCCTCTGTCGAGGACTGCAGAACTAAATATTCGAAAAGAGTTGGTTTTTCAAAGAAACCTTATTATGATTAGACGAATAAACAATGTTGGTCACTTAACTTGGCCTTAGAAAACAGCTTATATCTCCAGCCCATAAAATTTACTGAACCCTTTACCGAATACTTAACATTTGCTTTATTCCTGCTCTTTATCTCTGACAAAGTTGCGACTTTAACGAACTTAATCCCTGCAAGGTTATGGCAAGCGCCATAAAAAATCATGTTTAACAACTGCAAAGCGAAAGTTGCAGCGCTTTGGCTGGTTATGCAGTTGTCAATCAATCATTCATTCAATCAATCAATCAATCAATACGCAACAATTTCTACGAGTTTTTTTTGTTTTTGGCAGCATGCGCAGCAGCAGCAGCGGCAGCGGCAAAAAGAACTGTAAACAATTTGATTAGCTTGTGAAAGAGTAGTTTTTTTGGGGGCACCTGTCACCTTTGGAGTGCGCCGCACCGCCACCAGCGCTAGCCGGAGCAGCACCACCTGGCGCCGGAGCAGCACCGCCCGCCTCATCCCAATGCTCCGCGCTGCGGGAGCGCGCACTGAGCGCACGCTCCCGTTCCTCGCGCGACAAGCGCGCAAATAGACCGCCGCCGCCTGTGCCCCCAGCTGGAGTTCGCGTCCGCGGTGTGCCATAGACGCCCGCATAGTTCTCCAGCGGCGGCGAGTGGCCGCGTCCGTCCGCTGTCGCCGAGTGGGGCGTGCGCGGTTGCAGCTTGATGACCGGTTCGCGTGCCTCAAAAAATGCATCGAAGTTGTTCTGGCGCAGGTTCTCGCTGCTGAATACCGGATTCTCGACATGCACATGCACATCCTCACGCAGCCGATTACTCTCACGCTCACGCGTATCCGACGAGGTGGAACGACCAAGTCGGCCCAGCGGTATGTGCAGCTTAGGCCGCAAACGGGATTTGCTGGCGGTGGGCGATTTGCTGGGCACACTGCTGCTGGCTGAACATTCCGGCGGCAGATCCATGGGCGACATGGGTCGCCCCCAGCCGGGCCCGAAGTGTGCATGTGTGGGATCTGGCGAAGGTGGCTCCAAAAATACGCTGGGACTGCGCGAACGTGCCGTGACGAGAGCACCAGACGCGGCTGCTCCATAATCGATCAGGCGTCCCTCCTCATCGAACGCGCTGCCGCTGCGCTGGAATGGTGCGCGTCCAGATGCTGAGTTGCCGCCGCCTTGCATGTTGGCATCATTATTATACATGGACGTGCTCAATGGACGCTGATGTGGCAGCAGCCTGGGCGAGAGCGGCGCCTGCGAGCGATTGCTGCGTACACTGGACCGCTTGCTGCCGCCGGAGTTGTGGTTGGAGTGCGTCAAGGAGGCGCGCGATGTGCGTCGTGTGGGCGTGGGTGGCAGGCTCTGCGACTGCGGTACCTGGACAGCCGTCAAAGGTGGCTCAAAGTTGAAAAAATTAATGCCGCCGGCCTCGACGAGTGGCGACTGCGGCTGCCCCTGTGGTGAATTGGACGGCGTGGGCGCCGCTAACGTTGTGGGAATGCGTGACGGGATGGGCTGTGCTCTGGTGACACCTGTGGCTAAGCTCGACGATGGCGACCACTGTGCTGTGCTGTACGAGTCGTTGGGATAGCTGGTGGCGGCAGCGGCGGCGGCGCTTATCAAGTTGACGTTGGCGTTGCCTTTGACGTTGGAGCTGGTTGCGGCTCTCGCTGGATACTCAAGGGGTATGAGCGGCTCGCGCAGGCAGTCGAGTGTGGGTCGCGGTTTCACACGTGGTGCAAGGAGACCATATGTCATTAGGATGAGCTCATCGGCGGGATATATTACGTACATTCCTCAATGTACCCATGTGACATGGTGGCAGCTCTCTATGAATTATTATTCAGAGCGCTCGGGCAAATCCCTAACTAATCAAGGTTGTCAAGTTAATAAGCTCTAACTAAATGTGTTAACTATCGATTAAGGGGGCGTGTCTTTTTCTTGAGGATTGGGAAGTTCTATTACAGTTGCAGTTACAGTTACAGTTACAGTTACAGTACTTGCAGTGTCAACTTGTCTTTTATAATGTTGTTTTTGTTCTGTCTCAAAGTCTCACTAACTGAATTTCAATAAACTAAAAAGAGTTACGTATAGTTAATAATTAAATATATATGTATAAGTATATGGCATAAATATATTAACTACTTGGCGCGTACTTTATTCAACTTGGGTTTATCACAAAGCGAGTTCGAACTTTTTGGGATCGTGTTGTCATTTAGAGCGTTGCATGCTGGCCATAACTGCAAAAGAAATAAGGAGAAAAGGAGAGAAAAACAAGATTAATTATATGCCAAAGCACGATTAACACAACAGAAAGGCTTTCTTAGGCATGGCAAATTAAAAAAAAAAAAATCCTAGCAGAGAAAATTCAATTTATTTAAAAAAAACTTAAATACGAAATACTTAAATAGAGTTCCACATATACAACAAATACTAAAGGCTCTGATATTCTTATTAAGCACAATTTGCCATCGGTTATTTGTTTACTGATTAAGCATATTTCAAACATTTGTTAGCTTACACTCATTATAGGACTTTAGCATTAATTAGAGCATGGATTTATCTCGTTTTAATTAAACATTATATGCCAGCAGCAAGTCAAGTGAATAGAAACCAACTTTGGCCACAAACATTATTAAATTATTTCAAATTTCGCATTGCTTCAATATTGTGCTCATTAAATTTGTTTAGTATTTGAATTGAATTGCGAGCGAGAGCTCCGATTACTCTCCCCATCTCTCTCTCTTTCTGGCTGGAATTCGGGACAGTCTGCCGGGACAGCGCAGCTGGGCAAACTTTGCGGCAGTTGGCACAACAAAGTTGGGCAACTTTTCCACATGTCCACCATGGCGAAAAGGCCCACTGCCCGTGGTCGGGATACAGAAACACGCGTGCTTTGCCCAGCTAGTTAAGAGTTGTTGCGGTTCCAGAAGCTCATAATAGAGCATTTAATGGCTCTGAGCTTCACACAAAATTAACAAGAATTATGTACTTAGCTCTCTGGCGAAGCTGAAACTCGAATTACGCGCATGAAAGGATTGTAATTATGCTGAGCAGCTTTTAGGAAATTGATGAGCCAAATTAAAAGGAAATGCCGAACTAAATGCAAACAAATTGATTGTAAAACGTGCTAATTAGGCAAGCGGAAGCGGGCTGCAGTGCGAAAAGCAAAGCTGTCAAAATGATATAGTATATAGGAAGCTTTCCACATTAGAAAACTGTTTACGTAATAATTACCAGATGAACCTATTGTAATTGCCAAAACAAACTGAAGACTTAACGCAAACTTTTGTTTCTAAAGACTGCGCTTATAATTCGCAAGCAGTTCTGGCGCAAACTTGATAGAAACACTAGACTGAAAGCGAAGCAGAGACACCAATGGATAATAAATTTCTAGACAAACCCATTTTTACTGCCAAAACAAACAGAAGACTTAAAGCAAAGTTTTGTTTCTAAAAACTGTGCTTACAATTTGCAAGCAGTTAAGGCGCAAATCTGATTGAAAGGCTACCCTGAAAGTGACGCAAAAATTTAAATTGATATTAAAATCCATAAATTACACTACAAACAATTTATACAACTGCCTTGGCAGCTTAACTCATACGATTTCTGACAAAGACCTGGCTAACCTATTGAGTACATAAACAAACAGAAATTCAGAACAACTTAAGTAATATTGTGATTATTTGGCCAATGGCCAGCTGAAATCTACACGGCATTGAAATCGCATTACGCAGCGGCTGTGAGAAAGATTAAATTCGTATTGTCATAAGCTGGCAGACCTTGCACGAATCCGAATCTCTACTGAAAAAAACCCCAAGCCCGAAATTGCATCAATAAATAAATAAATCAAATGAATGCGCGTATAAACCATGAAAAAAAAAGCATATACTACATATATTTGAGGGCAGTTCGCGTTAAAAAGAAATCACGCAAATTTAAATGCAAACTGAATTATTTATAAGATGTAAGTTGCAATGCCTGGCTGCGGATCTGTGCGTGTGTGTGTGTGCGTGTGTGTGTGCGAGGTGTGTGGCAGGTCAGCACACACATAAATAAATAGGCCAGCATTGGCTGCAGCTGAACGTGCCAAAAATGGTCTTTGGATATATACTTATATTTGGGAAATGGCAATGCGATAGCTGCTGATTATGATGTTGATAATGATGATGATGATGATGATGTAAGACTGATGATGCACTGCAGCAGCGTATAAAAACGTTAGCATGTGTATATGCAAATATTTTCTTTCCATTTGCCCAGCAACGCGCACACCCCAATACACTTTTACACACACACACACACCCGCCCGCCCTGATAATTGAATTGTTTTGCAGCACTTTAGCAGCTCGTTAAATCTGTCAACATTGATCAATCATTCTAGGGAGGGAAAGCAATTCAGCCAAAAAAAAAAATGTTGAGCTTCACTTTCATCACACGAAAGCCAAGTCAGACAGCAGCTGGCAGCCTTGGGTGTCAAATGGGTTGGCTTCGTCCTGGAAAATCTGTGAAGTAGCGCGCACGATATGCCAATATGCCAGATATGCGCGATGGCAATGTCATAAAGCAAAGCACAAAGTGAAAGCAATTTTATGAAATGCACAAGCAACAACAGCAACAACAGCTACAATAACAATAATAAACGCCATGGGCTACTTGCTGTCATTTGTTTTGCCATAAAAGTGCAACGGTAAGTATATAAAATTAATTAACTACAAAAACAATGCATCCAATCTGACGCTGTCTGGCAATGGGACTGACAGCGGCACAGCGCGGGGGCAGCCACTGGGGCAGCAACCAGCTGCAGAGGGGGTGGTGTGGCCGGGGCAGGCGCACACTGGCAGCCTTTAGCTACTTTGAAGTACTTGCGCTTATCATTCATGGGAAGCTCAGCATGAAAATGAATACACAACTAGTGGCAAATGGCAACTTTAGAACCGTCACGAAACCTAAATGCCCTACCATATCTTGATCTAAAATAACACATACTAACTTTAGAATATCCTACTATGAAAATCAAAGAGCTTCAACCAATATCAAATAAATCAAACTCAACCTAACCTAACCTTAAGTTAAACCGAAGCTAATCTAAACTAACCTTATTAACCCAAACCTAAATCTTAAGCTAACCCAATCAAAATTAACCCTACTAAATCTAACCTAACCTAACTTAACCCAATTAACTAAAACCCAAACCTTGCTTAACTTAACCTAACTTAACCTAAACCTAACCCAAACATAAGCTAGCCTCAACCTAACTTGACCTAAACCTTAACCTAACCTAGCCCAGTGCTTAGCTAAGTCATATTTCGAAGCAAAATAAACTAATTTTTATTCCGGTTTGAGTTGTGCTTTAATTTATAAAATGAAAGCAGAATTTCTTAAAAGTTTTTCATATGCTTTTTATTTTGAGTTTCGTCGGAATGTGTCCTGGAGAAATTTGATACAGCTTCCAATTTGTCTGCCTTGGCCTATTTTTCTTCACTCGAATACAATAAAAAGTTTATAGGAAAACTTGAAATGAATTTTATTTCATTTAATAATAACTTTAAGCCTGAGCCTCATGCCGGCTAACTGATACTTATTGATTCTATAAATAATAAAATACAAATCAAATGGTAGCTAAAGTGTTTCAGTTTTTTTTTTATATATTTCTTTGAATATGCATAAAACTTAGTTCGAAAGATTTATTCACCTATGAAAAATCCAACCCAAACGCAACTGTCGAGCAATGCGTATGATTCAATTTATATCAAACTGAATGAGCTTTTCTCAAAAATCTCAGCCTCATTCCATTCATGTAGAATGGCAAACGAATATTATTCGTCAAACTCGACTCAATGCATTGAATTAATTTAGATCTTTATTGAAATACCTTTGCTCCATACCATGCGTGCCAAATGATTATCATTCGCAACATTCAAGAATGTATTCAATCAATTTAGATTTGTATTCAAATTCCTTTGCGTTATTCTTTTCATGCAGAATAGCAAATGAATATCATTCGCAACATTCACAACGTTCTAGGCAGTATTCAATCAATTCAGAATTGTATTCGAATAGCTTTACCTCATTCCATTCATTCTGAATGATTCATTGACTGATTGATGCCAACCTTAGACAAAAATAAGGCATTCTTCGAATAGACAGCATTCATAAGTAAACTGACAGACAGTTGGACATGTGTAATACACTTGGGTTGTATGTTGTATATTAAATGACAAAGCCAATATACCCGACGGCATTTGCGGGGCATATCATAATCAGGAAACGCGACGGCAACGAGCAGCAAACAAAATGTTATAAATAAATAAACAAGCAGCGCCGTTGGGTTCTACAGCTGCTGCCGCTGCTGTTGTCGCCGCTGTTGCCATTGCCGTTGCTGTTGCTGTTGCTTCAGCTGCTTGCTACATGCTGCCCGTATCATGCTCAATGCCCAACACCACCCCCAGCCCGTACCCCAACCCACAATCCCTGCTCCCTGCACCCTGCCCGAGCTGTTGCTCAATGCAATTTTGGCAGCCTTTGCATTGGCAGCCAAGCGACTCGTCGACCTGGGCAGCGAGGAAGCAAACTTGACTCAAGTGCATTGTCAAGGTACGAGGGGCACACTGTGAAGACCCAGATACACACACACACACACATACACAGACGGCGAAATACACTTGCAAGAGATACATATACATACATAATTACATGGCAGTGCGCCCATATAGCTTGAGCTGAAGCTGTTGCAAAATGTTTCTGCCATGTGTGTGTTATATATATTTATTTTTATTTCAATGAACTTGTGCACATAAATTAACCAAGTTTTAGTTCTTGCACTGCTATAAAACAAAATTCCTGAAATGCCTTGCATTACACTAGTAGCTAGCAGCTACTTCACAGATACAAAAGTATCTCAGGCTAATCAATTGCATAAGCCTGCCTTCAAGCACACAACTCTTAGCGCGCAAATCCCATAAACCAAATAGATGTTGCTCTTCTTATTTTTCTTTTCTGTTTGCAATTTATATGCCTAATACCTTATAATTCCCTTATTGAAATGCGTTCGCTTCGGGAAGCTCAGGCGAGGCACGGCATGAACACAAAAGTCGCAATCGCAATGAATAATGACAGGTAGTATGTATATCAGAAAGGGGGTGGTGGATGGGGCTCTGTCGGTGTCAACCCTCACAAAACGTGCTGTCGAAAAAAGCAAACTCAATTTATGAAAACATTCATGCAGCCAAACACACACACAAGCGCACATCCGCCCCACGCAAACACACACACACACACAAATTGCGTATGCGCCGCGTGAGCCCGTTTTGAATCTACGTAGACTTTTGCACCTCCCTGCTCACCACACATACAGAAAGCCTATTACCGTCGCACGTTTTGCTATCATATATTGTACATAAATAAGTGAATAAGTCGTGAGTATTTTTACACGGAAATGGGCCCACTTTTCTTCAGTCAGACAATGCCAAAGCGCATTTAACTAATTAGACAGGCCATTCATAAGGTAAACAAACTGATTGATTGGCCCATTTGATAAGCTGCCATAAATGCCAAATGGCCAGAAAAAAAAAGGTTATTATTATGTTGTCAAAAGACATTTTGCGTACCCGAAAATTCTATTAATATTTTATTGATCAAAATGAACTCAGTAGCATGTCAATTCTTTTGTCCAGGCAAATAATTCGTTAGCGTATTTGAAGCTTTGTTGATGCGAATTGCAAACACGGATAAAGCTTCTTACTGCAGACTCGTAATAGGCTTTCTTTTGTAAGAATTGACGTGCTACATCTCAGAGCAGACGTAGTTATAGTCGATAAAAATAATTAACTATAACCAATTTGTTTGTTCTTAAGCTAACTTGATTAAACTCTTCATCAGAAGCTGAGTTGATATAGCCATGTCCGTCTATCTGTCAGGAACGATCGGTCGAAAATAAAGTTATCGTAAGAAAAACTAAGCTTAATGCGGTAATTACAACTTTTACTATATATGCAAGAAACCTATCAATATCGGAGCACTATATGACATGGCAACAATTGTTCAAAAAGTACTTTTTTGCTTAGCAATATCTCTTGAACGAGCTCGGCATTTATAAGTTTTACTATGCTCCCTATATCGGAGCATTATATCATATAGCTGAAATAGGAACGATCGGTCGGAAAAGTAGGCTAAATCTTACATAGCACGAGCTTCACGTGTCTCACATATCTGTCAAGCCTTCATACAAATGTCTACAAGGATATCATTTCCTTCCTGAATTAAAAACTTTTGTCATAATATTTAAAATATTCTGAATAGATTTCCATTTCTTGATTGGCTTACAAAATGTTGACAAGATATAAATGTAAACCTCTTTTTTAAAGCTTACATATAAAAATTGTCTAAGCAAAAAATATGCCAAAAATATGTTAACACTCTAGTTGAGCTCGGTTTACCGTAGGCTACAGCTCATCTGTCTTAAAGGATAATAAATATTAGCGCTTGTCTTACATACACGTCTAGGTGGTACTCACCTTTTAGAGCAGCTGCAATTGTATTAAGTGAAATCCTTTGCTTGAATTTATGGCTGACATTTTAAGTTTGAAACGGATTTAGCACAAATTATTGCTTATGATTTATGACACGTATTTCTTGCGTATTGTTTGCACCAAAAATCAATTTGCTTTCGTTTGCTCTGGTTTTTTTTTTCTTTTGTGTTTTTGTTAGTTTATTTATTTGTTGTTACTTGGTTGTTGATGCTTCGCGTTTCTCGTAGCTCGTTTAAGTCGATTTAACAAACTCAAGAGGCGTCCAGTTGCCGCTTTCCACTTTTTACGCGCGTCTAGCGCCAGATATCGCATTAAATATATATAAATATATGTATATATCAATATATATAGTTCACACCACAGAGACGGCACACCACAATACACACACACACACACACACGCGCACACACTCGCGCGCGCGCACGCACACTCACGGCACACACAGCCAAGAAAAGACGCTCGCAGCAACGCGAGGCATTCAACGACGCCGATCGACGATGAATTTAGACTGAGGCTCAGCAGCTTGTAAGCATTTCAGTTGCTATTTTGACAATATTTGTTTTTGTTCCGCTTTTCTTTCTTTTTGCTGTGCTTTCGTGCGATTCTCATGGCTCTTCGTGTGTTTACTCTGCGCATATTGTTATTATATATATATATGTATTTAATGGTATATATATGCTATATAGCTGATCTTATCAGTTCGATTTAGCTTTGCCACATTTTTTGCCCAGCACACACTCAGATAGAGGGGGAGGGAGAGAGATGCTGATAATGTGTGTACGATGTGTTTATTGGCCTGGCCAATATACGCGGCGTATACGTGATGTACAATTTGCTGCTAAGCTGTTTGATTTGATGACGTCGCCGCAGAGCGTCGAGCGGCCATCCAGGCAATGACGTCACCGTTTGTCACAGCTGTCACGCGCACAGTGCACACTATTTATAGGTGACACGGCCGACGTCGACGCCGCAGCCGCAGCAGCGGCTGTTGCTGCTGCTGCTAATTTTCGCAAGTGTTTTTCTTTGCGCTTTTCTTGGATCTGCCGCGTCTGAAAATAGAAGGCAAAGCAAAAAGAAAAATTGTGTGTGAAACTCATTGAAATGTTTGCGCGTACTCAATTTTAATATACGCAAATAAAACTGGCAACAGTTGCTGCCACAGCAGTCCGAGCTGTGGGAGGCATCACTGCAAGCTGATTACTCATACGCCCCGCTGGCGCGTCAGAAACAACACAAATTAAATTGCATTAAATTTATAAATGGCATCACGCGCTCAACCAACGCCAGATGCGTAAGTGTCAACGCACAAGCACACACACAGACACACGCACAGCAACAACAACAACACACACTTACACACGCACACAGGTGAATGCATCTCCGTGTGAAGGCTTCGCTAGCCCAATTTCTAATTATTATTTATGAGGCCTGTCAGCAGGGATATGGAGACCACGCAAATTCCCAGCATGATACAACGCTGCCAAAGCTAACAAATTGGCCCAATTGGTGGAGGAGCATTCACTACGACCAAGATTGGCCCCTGGAAATCACGTTTCATGCTAAAATCAAATCGTGCTACGTACATGATAGCTGATGGGATGAAAATTTCCAAATAACATTGTAGAAAAACAAAAATGCAAGGAAACTGCAGAACACGCTCTACTATATCGATGCTCAAAATTCACATTTATGAAATTTGTAATTAACATATTCTTAACATATATGCCTTGATAAGAGCGCTAATGTGTTTAATTTACTAAAAACAACTAACAGAATATTACCATAACACATAAATGCTACAGTACGTAATGTAATTATGTGACATTATCTAACAGCTGCTTTAGATAATAAACAAATGTCAAATTAAGTAGCAGCTGTTTTATAAGCATACAAATTAAAAATTAAGTAGCATCTGCTAAACATAACATACAAATGTTACAAAGAAATATTTTCTACAACTGCTGTTGAGTAAATTTTCTATAATACAAATGTTAGGAAATATAGCATAAAAAAAATTAACTTTTATGCTACACCTTTACTAACAGTTACTTAACATAAGTATGTTAATAACAGTGCCCTGTAACTGTATTCGTTGATTTTCTTTTGGCACACGCATTTCTAATACATAGCTCAAAGCACAATGTTAACATTTTTAACATTAACGTATACTAACAGCTACTTAACATATGTAAGTATATTAGTAATAGAGCGGTACAACTTTTTCGTTTATTTTAAGCCCCAGACGTTATCAAGCTTTGGTTTGAGTGGACTTCCCCTCGTCAGCACATATATTAATGAGGGGCTTTCTCGTCAGGCCCTTGTTACCCGCCCATTGACATTTTTGCACTGCCAACGATGACTGTCAAGTTGTGAGCAAGCAAATTTCAATTATGACTTTGCAAATTTTGTAGCAACAGTAAAATGCAAACTTTGGTAATTGGTTGCGCTGCAACCTGTCAGGTAAAAGATTTCGTAGACATAGCGAAAGTACACAAAATGTGCCACACAATATCAATAATTTTATTACGCACAGGCCTTTGATGTTCAGCTGACTTTAATGACATCAAATTAAACTAATGTGTTAACGACATCAGCACGTCAGAGCTATATGTACGGCCCGGGCCTGGGCTGATTGGGATTGAATGGCGATGGTCGGGTGTCAAACGGTATGCGGCCCTCATGATGTCGCGCCTCGGTTAGCGACAGGTTCAGGCTCAGGCTCAGCACCAGCAGCAGGGGCAGCAGCAGCAGACCACGCAGATTGAGTTGCATCTTGTCTAAAAGTCAGTTGTTAGTTGATTGATGCCACAGCGCCCAAGCGGCAGGGTTTTTATACGCAAAGCGCAGGCAACCAGGGGGATTTTGTTTTGTTGTTCGCCAGATAAGCTTTAAATGCCAGACGGGGTCAGCTCAGCTGCGCTGATAACTATTCAATGCGGGGATGCACAGCCGAGCACAAAAACTGAGAAAACGAAATATGAAATGTGCTGGTTGAATATTTAGTTTGCGCCAAGGTCGCAGCCAAATGCCCAGGTTTCGCCCCGAATCAACCGACGTTGACTGCCTAGTCAGCAGCCACTTTACGTTGTTTTTGCATTGCAAATTACTAGCAACAACGACGCCATTCAAAGGCAACAGCAACATGCGTCAACACAACGCCACGCCCACTGCAACAAGCAGTTGCCATCGTGTCTAGCTAAGGCGAACTTCTGCTGTTGCAGCTGCCACTGCCAGAGCCCCCTTTGGCTCTATTAGAGCACTTTGTTAGTTTTCCTCTGGCAAAGGCCATGTTACAGCAGGCAGCCTCATCTTTGGCGCCCTTTTGAATGCGCCAACTGACATTTTCAGTAAATATTCCCATGCACTTTACCATTTGTGCGGTTACTTCCGTTTTATGCATACCCTGCTTGTAGAGCGTATTTCAATTATATCATAGCAAGTGTGATGCGTAAGAGAAGATATATGTATTATATGGAAGGTATATGACACATGTATTTTTTGTAAAAAATAAGTTTTGTTCTAAGGATCGAGCTACTATAGCTTATAAATAGCTGCCTTGGGATCGAAAGCTTAGATATATTCACCAACGTTTTGTTCACCAAATTCTTTTTATATGAACAAAATCTGAATGATATTCTTTTTTGCTAAAGATAAATTGTTCAAACTTGTGTTTAACGGGTTTAAGCATGCGCCTAATATAATAACAAAATCTTATCAACAGTCGAATACCATATCATTTATCATAAAGCTCTACATTAAAAACCTGCCAAGAAAATGATTCTTTTAGAACCTTTTTTATTTCATACGAATTCTTGACCAAACGCAGCAATTAAAAGCTTCGCTGTGCTGCGAATCTTTCGCACATTAAATCAGTCTACCATATTATATGGCGCCCATTAAAACAATTAGGCGCAAATAACGTCTTCGCATAAAAGCATTTCTACGCCGCATAATAGTGTATTTAATTTTCGGCTTGCCAAACATTTCTTTAGAGTTTTTTATTTTTTTGATTTTCTGACCGCATGGCTCATTAGGTTAAGCAAATGTTTGCTGTGTACGCAAAGAAAATCAATAAAAAGTCAAACCGAACGCAATGAAATTTATGTGCAAATCAATTTATATACAAAGCATATTGTCTATATAGACGCGCACAACATAAATCGAATGGGCCACAGCCACAAGATCAACCGCAGCGGGAAAAAACAATAAAATTGTTAACAAAATGAAAGCGAAAATTTGAACAACAATAACAAGAACTTTTATGCATCTAAACAAACGCTCAATTGTTTACTTAACAATCGATGGATGTTGCCTTTTGTGTGTATTATTGCCCCTTCTCTGTGTGTGTGTGTGTGTGTGTGTGTGTGTGTGTGCTGCTTCCTATAGTCATAAATCAAAAAGAATGTGCTGGCCATTTGTAGATTAATCGATTTGCATGGCTAAAGCATAAAAAAATATACATTCGTCTAATGTTTAGACACGGCTGCGGAGATAAACAATTGCTGCAAATTATAAACAGACATCAGATCGGTTCGTCAATATCCCTGCGTCAGGTCTGGGCATTACATAACTACAAACGAAAAACAAGTCGGCCAAGTCGAAAGGGGGTAAATGCGAGCGAGGGGGTAAAACTTTAAATTCCTTGACATTTTCTTCTTTCCCTGGCATTTTCTTCACTTTGCTGCTGCGGCTGACATTTTGAATTATTTGCTGCAAATCGCGCGTCGCCGAGTGAATTTTTTTGTTGCGCCAGGGGCTAACGACCCGTAGCCAACGCCAGTTGGAATACCCTACCCTCTACAACCACCCCCCTTCCAAGCCTACACAGTTAAATTTCATAGCCGAAAATCACAGCAGTGAAAAGTTGAATTTAACGATAAGGAGCAGAAAAACGACAGGCATTCCATTTGATGGGAAAAAATTATTGGAATTTTGATGCGGTTCGCATTTAATAAACATTGCATCGATCTATAAAGCACGATTTGTATACGCTATATAAATATACTACACAAGTCATTAGTATTGATAATGAATCCATTCGCGTCTGTTGCGCAAACGATTTCAATTCTGGCACATTGTTTATGCCCCGACGTTGCGCATTTCCAAATTAATTTGGTAGAACATTTACAATAACATATTGTATATATGTATTATTGTAATTAGAAATTAATTTCCTAAATAAAAAAAAGCGCTTGATTACTTTTAATACACTTTTACACAAAGCTAAGTAAAAGATATATGCATTTATTTATCAAAGGGGAATATCCATACTTTTTATTAATAAAATTTCCACCTTAAGCTCAACAACAAGATTAGAGGCGACTAAATCTCAAATGCTAACCAATTTATTTCGTTCCAATTAATTCGAATAAAACTCTTATCCATTAGATAAACACATCAATTCATCAACTCATGCATGCGAAATTATTTTTGACAGATGAGCCTTGAACCACTTGAGCTCAATTAGATTGATATGTGGCAGGCATTGTGTTATTTAAGCATTGAAACTTTAACGATATTTGAGTAAAAATCAAATTATGAGTGACTCATGCCACAAGGCACCCAAACTCCCAGGTGACATAAAACTAATTTGCAAGTTTGAAGTTTGAGCGCAAGTCGCAGTGCTACGAATGGAATACTTATATAGTGTATATAGAACTGGCTGGAGCAATAAAAATGCCAGCATAAGTGAATAAATACAAAGGCCTAAACTGTTGGCAGGCATAAATATGCATCTCTTTGCGAGAGATGCGTTCATAAATAAGCGCTGCGAACTAGAGAAGTACTAGATGAAAGCAGCGGCAGTTGGGCACCTTTGGGCCCCATCCATTTTGCTGCCTGAAAGGCAACACCAACCAAGTTCATTAGGTATGTATGCAAGGAGTCTAGTCGTGCTGCGGTGAAGGCGGACTTATGTGGGTGTAGGGGTGGGGTGTTGCCTTTAATGCCTGCGTTCCCTTTCCCCCACATTTATGGCTGCCATAAATGTGCCAGCTCATTTTGTTCGTCATGGCAAAGGGCGGGGATGTGGCAGATTGTTGCCTGCCTCTAATGTTATTCAGACAAGATGAAGCACTTAAGAATGCGTTGTGCGATGTCAGCTGTGGGGTCGCTGGGCAGAACGCACTCAGCTGTATGTAAGTATATGTATATCTAATATCAGATGGTTGTCTCCGTCGCCCCTGGACAGACAGGTGATAATGAACACACTTAGAGGCAGGCAGCAGGCAGCAGGCAGCAGCAGCACATGGAAGCCGGAGACCTGCACACATGTTGCCATTTAAGCAGTTAATGGCGTGTTTAAAGCTAATTGCCATTGCCAACTGCCAAATGTAAGGGGCCCCCGAAGCAGCCACAAAAGCCTCGGCTACTTGTTTATTAACTTTGCAATTTATTTTATGAACTTTTTGTGTCGCCTCCGGTAACCGCAACAAACGCTGCCCCCACAATGCAAAGCCAAACCCTAAATAATGCAGCACACATTGTGCGTTATTTTTGTTGCTTCAGTTTTCTTTTTATGCCCTTAACCCATTCAAAATGTCTAAAAAGGGGTATAATGGTTTTGGGCAAATGTATGTAACAGGCAGAAGAAGGCATATAATTTGTTAATATTCGAGTCGATCTAGCCAAGTCTGGCTGTCTGTCCGTCCATCCCTCCGTCTATCAGTTTGTTTTTCTCTCGTCCGTTTGGTACTGGTGTGGATGAGGGTATCCCCTAGTCAGGCAGGTTAGTGGTTTTTTTTTTTGTGTTTCATACTCTGGGGACACAAAAAAGTCTCAGTTTGGTGTAGCTATGGACCACATATGTGTGTTTTCTGAATATCTGTGGCTTTCATTTACTTAAAGAGACGCTTTCTGTTAAATTTTTATTTCGAACTGATCTTTAGATATAAATAAAAACTATTTAAAATTTATAAAATGTTCAATCATGTTCCCAAGCCAATAAATTTGTTAATTTTAATTGTGTTTTGTTTATAACAATTGCTTTTGTTGTATTGCGCCATTTCACAAACTTTATTTAAACATGAATTCAATATTCAATTTAATTAACCCAGAATTCAGCTGAAAACAATGCAAAAGCAACAAAATAGCCGCATAATTAAAAAATATGAAACAATTCATAAAAAAATAATTAACACAATATAAATAAAAACATAAAGAAAAACAGAAATTAAATACATATTAAATATTGCATAAAATGCAATACAACATAACAAAATACCTTAAAAAAGCAAATTCCACGCACAACAACAAAAAATAAAATCATGTGAAAATTTATGAAAGCCATGCACCGTTTTTTGTTGTTTTTTTTTATGTATTTTTTTCACTTTGGCTAACATAAAACTCTAACAGCTTTAAGGTTTGTTTCAAAAAGGACATGCTCAAGTCGAGCTATGTGAACTGTGAAATTGTTATTTTGTTTTATACACATATAAATATATATATAATATATATATGTGTATATATACATATATGTTTATCCACGGGGAGTATCTCATTTGGCTGGGCTTTGTTGTCACAGCGACTGTGAAAATGTTATTGTTTTGGGTCCAAATGAGTCTGGAGGCGAGCAAAATGGGAACTGACAGCAATGCCGACGGTTGCTGCCGCTGCCACTGCTCACCTGTCACTTAATCAACAGGACAACAACAACAACAACAACACAGGGGCCATAACAATGGAAAGAAAGCTGCCCCCAGAGCGCGCCACATTTGCTTTTGGGGCCAAGGTTTTGGCATTTTGGGCTGCTGCCTATTTGTGCCTGGGCTCAAAACGCTTTGGCACTAAAAAATTAGTTTTCCTTTATTGAGCCGCCAGTGATTGCCAAAGTGTACGTGCGGCTAGTTGCATGGACATGTTGCCCAGCTACGGAGCGAGCATCTTTTGTTGCGCGTGCCCAGATGCTGGCCTTCGGGTCGCATTGCGTATACGCAACGTACGTCTAATCAAGTTTGATGCAAACACTTGTTGGCTTTGCAAATAATGCGTATTGCTGGGACGGTCGGGCGAACATTGATGGGCATCTATGGAACCGCAAGAGATTAGCGACAGATTGATGTTTTGTGGCATGATGTGAAAAATGGCAGCTGTGCTTAAATGCTTAACAAGGCAATTTGCGTGCGGCATTCTGGCTATTGTTTGGCCTGGCTGCCCGCTCCGTACCGGAGGTACGCATCGCGGCCAACTTGTCCAAAAGGTGGGCGCGGCTGTCGTTATTAGCATGCCATCAGGCATGACGACGGCCCAGCAATTTATGCAAAACGTGCTCAAGTGCCGCACATCGCGTGAGTGGCGCCAACTAACGCCAACTACCTAGCCACCCCCCCCCCCCCCTTCCTAAGTCTCTCTACACTCTGAAGGTAGAACCAGCCGCTCACGACTCATTATCAGCAGCATGAAAGCAATGTCTAAATTATATGTATATACATTTTTTTGGAGCTTGCCAAAATGCATTCATTTTGGGGGTAGCTTTAAAGGCATCGAATTCAGGTCAGCCAGCTGAAAGACACTTAAAGCCAAGTGCCCAAATAAATGTTAAGGTCAACATGGCAACCAAAATATATATATATATAAGGAAAAACAGTTGCTAACAAATGTAACAAGTAAAATAACTTATTAGGGCGAGCAGTGCAGATAAACCTAGCTTACGGATTGGTTAATTTTGAATCAATGGGATCATGGCAGAAAGTTTGAGGCAATAGAAAAGTGATCCAAAGGGATGCTTAATAAGTGCAAAATCGGAGCTCTATGCCAGTTGCTTTTACATCTAAATATTGGCCACTTTTATTTGGAAAACTTGTAATTGTTGTTAAGATTTGGTTAATAGCATACGCTGCTAACTTGTTCACTTTTTTCTCTCAACCAAAGACATTTTGTTTCGTGCTTAACTTGGCTATGAACTCAAAGCTCCAGTCCACCTCGCCGGTCACCCTGAATATGACCTTGTAATAGCCCTCGGGTGCTATTTCGGGCATACCTTCGCCACTGATCACACACTTCTCCAGTTTGTAGATGTTTCTGGGCCAGGGATCAACGTTGTCGGGCTGTGGTAGATTCGAGCACTGGCCGAGATTTTTAAAAACTATGTCCTTGTAGTAGGAATCGGTATACTTTTTATATGTCTGCTTTGGTATAGACCACGGCAGTAGAACATATTCATCGGGGTTGCCCGAAGAGCTGCGATAGGCCACAGCCTCCACCTGTGAGAATATCAGACTTATTTTCAAGCACTCATTTTGATATTATAACCCACAATAGTGGTCTCATCCGTATCGTAGTTCCAGTCCAATGTGACCGTTAAGGCATATTCTCCGCGGCCCACACGATCAATTTTTGCCACAAGATTCATTTTCTTTGGATCCGAGGTTTGGACATCAACAGACAGCGGCTCGTAATCCCAAGAGCGCTATGATGGAAATTATCCAGTTTGTATTCTCTATATGGCCAGTTTTCAACTTACTTTGCCGGCACAGCCATTGAGCAACAGCACAAATGTGACAATTCCCGAAGCAGAGCACAAAAACGAACGCGTAAACATTTTCAATGTTAGCTTTGAGCTACTGAGCAGACTACTTGTGTTTTATATAACATTTTATTGGTCGAATATTCCATGTAGATCTCTACATTGCTATAATCGGACTTGTTAACAAGCTTTCAATGTGCGCATCACATTCATTAGATTGGGCTAATTGTACAAAAAATTCATGTCAACGAGTCTGGACGTTCATGGAAATATTTATTTCACATTTGCCCTCTATCTGATCAAAATTTGTACGAATGACTATGTTGTAGTGTGCATGTGTCAACTTCATCTGGCCAATGCAATCCCAATGCCAATTCTTTAGATTCTCGCGTACTATATTTTTCTATAATCTACAACTCGTTCGATTTTCCCCTAAATCAATAATTGTCCATATGTTGTTATAATTTTTAGAGCGCACACCTAAGTGATTGTATTAGTTTGTATTTACGCACATATAAAATAAATGTTCTCAAAATGCTTTGAAAATGACTTTAAAACTGATCGGACGGTAAACAAATAACTTTCATGCAATTCTTTTCCGTCAATTTATTAATCGCCGAAGAAGATATTCCTTAAGTTCCTATATAGAGCTTGGAAAATAAGTTTCAAGCAAATCGGACAAAACTTAAAACTTAGCCCAAAAAATCTTTGAATCGCATTTCATATAGATCTTTGCAAATGAATTTGAGCGCAAAATGTCACCCAACAAATTTTTGCCCCTATTTCCACGAAGGTGAAAAGCATTTTCAAAAAATTGCGAAGTGTTCCGAAAAATGAATTTGAGCAAATTTCTTTGAATGTCAGCTTAAGGCCGATAATTTTTCACGATTATGGAAAATACTTGCGGGTGGAATTTCCCGAAACCATTTCTTCATCACATAAATTAACTGCAGTGTAAATTTCACTTCAAGTTTGGGCTGTGCGTTGATCACCAATCAGTCAGTCAGTCAGTCAGTCGGTCAGTCAGGGCAACCAGTTTTATATATAGAGATAAAAAGTAAAATAAAAGCAACGTCTCAAATATTCACTTTTGTAATTGGATGCTGTCATTTGTGACTGTCGACTGCGCCGCATACCTTAAGCTTTACAATTTAAAGCACGGCAGACCCACTCCAGGAAACATGCCAGCGGCACTCAGCGCAACAAAATATATAAATAAAATCAATATCGAAGCATAAATACGCTTACGAGCAGCAAAGTGCAGCTCGCAATTAATGAAGGTATTTTGTAAAATGATAACAAAGTCATTTCTTCAACGATTCTTACGATAGCGACATATGATGGTAGAAGTAGTAGAAGCAGTAGTAATAGATAGGGATCCAAGTTTATTGGAATATATATAAAAAAAAGGGAAGGTTTATCAAATAAGAACTTGTTTCTTGGTCGATCGGCCCTCTGATATGATATATAGTTATCAACCCTAGAAAAAAAGTTTAAGAAGTTTGAAATAAGTTTGACGGACTCGACTATCAAGTATACATAAGTCTAAAAAAGCTTCCCTTACAAACACATAGCAAAATGTATTTCAAATTTATGAAACTCTCTGAGAGGGCATCAAAAAAAAAAAAAAAGTACATAAAAAGCAAAATACTCGAATTGCGTGTGTGCATGTTGTGTTGCTGCCACCGCACCCAATTGTTGTTGCTTTTGCGAGTTGTTTTTCTGTTGTTGTTGTTGTTGTTGTTGTGGTTGTTGCCATTAAGTCTGTGTGGGTCTGCTGTTTTTTTTTTTTTTTTTTGTTCCTGGTATGCTCCGGCTCCTCACCATTGAAGCGCATTGTGTTCTGTTTGTTTTATAGTTATTGCTTTTGTTTCGCCTTCTCCAGGGTTCTTCAGCGCCCCATCCTCCACCCCCTCCGCCACCTGACGCCCACGCCCATGCCGACGCCCATGCCCATGTCCATGCCCATGTCCACGCCCGCATTTTATGCACATTTAATCTTATGACAGGCAAAATGTTGTAAAATTGTTTATGGCACTTTGTGACATGGTCAGTTTTTACATTTTTCAGCATACTAAAAAATTGTATTCGCACATATGCGAACAACTACAAGATTAACGTATCACATTCTCAGGTGATCAGGTAAACCTTTCAGGCTAAAAGTTTAACAGTTGTGGAACACTTGATAAGTTTCTATTCTATTCTAAGATGGATGGCAGAGATTTGCAGAGCTTCGACAGAGTTTGAGAATTAATTTACTCTGGTATCAAAATCGACTCTGGCTAAACGGATTGTAACTAAGTGTAAGAACCAATTTTGTTAACATATTTTGTTTCGCGCAAAAAAAAAAAAAAAATAACATAAGTTGTCACAAATAAGTTCCTGTCAAAAAGAAAATTCAAAATGATTTTTCTTATCTATAGTCTATAGTCTTCTTCTAATATTAAGATAAATAAATGAAAATAATCCAAAATGAAACACCTAAAATATAACCTTAGAATCATAATAAATGAAAAAAAAAAACCTTTTTTCGACAGGGTTCAGAAAAAGGCGCCTCCTCCTGGAATCTACCTAAGAGGCGTATATTCTTAATACCCCACAGTCTTTTGCTTCCCCTTGATTGTTAATATCCCTCTATGTTAAAACTAAGTTATATTTAAAAAAAATCAACATGGTCCAAATTCATTAATATTTATTATTTAATTAAATCGAACTCCTAAATCTAGCACCAAGCATACTATTTTCTAATAAATATCTTTTTATCATTTTTTTTGCCCATTTCTTGTTGTTTTCTGTTTTAATGGAGTGCTAAGCCATTTTTGTCGCATAAATATTTAATTAATATTAAACATATTGAAAAATGCGAACTAGTTAAAACCAGTCCGGGCATATTTATTTTTAGTGCTAAAACTGTGGCAAAAGTAAAAACTATCATAAAACAAATTTGCATATGGAAAAACTCTTAAAAGCAAATTGAAACTTTATATAGAGCACGTATGAATAAATTATATTGCACTTTCGAGTTAGCCCAATTGCAATTACTTGGCCGTAACTTACCTGCGGGCAAATGTTTCCAGTTTCTAGTTTGCTGAGTTGCTGGCAACCTGTTGGTTGCAGCTGCTGCTGCTGCTGCTGTTGCTCTTTGTTGTTGTTGTTGCTCTTCTTCTTGTAGTTGTTGTTGTTGTTGTTGTTGTGCCATCTACTATTGGCAGACAATACAAATTTCCACTCAAACACTTGGCACGCTATTTGGTTTTTGTGTCAGTGCCGTGTCCAGCTTAATTTCATTTATATTTTAATCGAAATATATTTGGCCAAGCTGTCTGCCCATTTGGTTTAGCCGCAGTTTCACATAGCTACTCGTAAATATGTATGGATGTTTTCGTATAAATTTTGAAAAATTATTATTAGTTATTTGTTGTTTGCTTTGTGCTTTTTGGTCTGCAGACACATTTCAATTTTTTTTTTTCGTTTTTTTTTTTTTGTATTTAATTTTCTTCTGCTCGATTTTGAAAATTCGGCGAAAAGTCAAGAGCCGCAATTTTTATTACGTTAATTTATGATTCGAAATTTGTTGCCAGTTAGCGCTAGATTTATAAACATATGTTTGTCTCTCTATATGTGTACTTTTAGTTAGGTACTAAGCTGCATCGAAAAATATAGTATAATATAGTTGTTGTTGTTGTTGTAGTAGTAGTAGTAGTAGTAGTAGTAGTTATGTATTCCCTTGAAGGTTTCCTGTTATTTCTTGAATCGTTTCAATTTGGTCTGCAGTTGAGCTTGAGCTAGAGAGTTAAAGTTGAGTTGGGGTGCTGAGTTTTTCAAATTCGTTGCGCCTGTCACTTGATAAGGCCAAAAAATAATACATTGCGTTGGTTACCAAAAGCGTTGAGCTTGTTCATCATTATGGCCAGTTTTGAAACCGAGCGCGCGTGCTTACACGACACCAAAACGGAGTTCAAATAGCTTGCATTGCATTAATTATTCAGGTAGTACGAATGTATGTAATTGCATTTATATATATTTATATATATGTTTGTATGTATATGCATGTATGTATATGTATATGGTGGGGTCACGGAAGCCGCGTCAAAACTTCACAAAGTTGCGAGTCGGCCGAAACGTAACGAAACGTCAAACGTAACGCGCGCGATAATAAAATTCTAAAGCATACTTTTTAGCTATGCTGCACATTGCACTCACACTGACACAGACGCGCGCACGAACACACACGCATACGTACACGCAGACACACACACACACACACACCCACACATACAAACAGTTAGGTACTTGTTGTTTCAGCGGCAATGAGCTGCCTTCAGGCATTTAGCTTGTCCTCTTTGGTCTTTGGTTTATGCCGTGGCGCCCTTGCGGCCAACATCACGTCCAGCTAGCGACTGAGACAACGCTGCGTATACGCAACGCCGTCGACTGTCGCCGTCTATTTTCGGAGTAATCGCAAAGCGTCTGCGCAGAGAGGCGAGCACAACACAGACTGCCAAGCGAATTACAGAGACACAGTCGCAAAAGAGCGCCAGCCAAACAGAATCAAGCAAGTGGTTTGCATTTGGGCCATTGGCCCTAGACAAAACATGCCTAAACACACACGAACACACACACATATAAATTGTGAGCCTGTTCAAAATAAATTGTTAGAGTAATTTAAACATATTGAGCAGGTCCTACACACACACACACACGCGCAGTTGCGGAGCGCTTCAGTAATCAAAGCAGCCTTCAGCTAATAAGTCAATTTGCGGCCAAATGAGCAGCAGGTGTGTGTGCTTGTGTGTGTGTGTGTGTGTGTGACAGCATAGGTTAATGTGTAAGCATTTAATTACCTAGCAACTGGCCGGGGCACAACAAAACCCACAATCAATTGGCCGCCCCGGGGATGACATCTAATGTAATGCCTGGCCATGCCATGCCCTGCACTGCAGTTACATATAATTAAATCTAAATGAAAAGCAAGTTGATAACAACAATGCAACATGCTTGGAAAATTGCTAAGCAGGAAAATCGATGCAGTTCGAAGGAGCGACAGCAACAACATCCGTTACGTCCCATTGTCAGGGAGCGGGAGGGGGGTGGTACGCGCGGTTTGCGGCACGATTATCTTGCTTGGGTAAGTGTGAAAAACTTTTTAATTAAAATTCACACGCAATATGTTGCGCATACGCAACGTTGTAACCGTAGATTGTCCCCCCCCCCCCCTCCTCTCCAGCTTCCTGCTGCTGTCAGCGCGTCCCCGCTCATTAGCGTTCAAATTGTGCGCGTATCATGTAATTTAGATTAGTTGCAAATTGAAAATGTAAAGCGATTGCGGTTTTTTTTGGCTTCAACCAACGCTTAACCTCTTTCACCTGCCCGCCTCTTACCCCCGGCCAAAGTTTGTCACCTAGTAGAAGCTGACCAAACAATTTGCAAACTCAGCTCAAGCGTTAAAGTTTTGCAGCTCCGGCCCCGGTTGTTGCGTCTGGCCAACGCTTAACCTCTCTGGCTTAGCATTGCAAAAGTTGTTAAATACCTAACGATTAAATTATTACAACAACAAAATGTTCAGAACATTGTTTAGCAACGAACCCAGTTGCTCTTATAAATATTAATGCTGCCCAAGCAAATGAATTCATTTCACTCGAAGCTCTGCTCTATGGCGGTAAAAACATTCATCAGGTAAATTAAGTTTCTGCGAACAGCTACCAAAAATTAGGCCAAAAAAGTACTCTGCGACTTTATTATGCGCCCCCTTTTTTTTTTATGTGCTTCTCCCTAAGGACACTCGAGGTGTTGTCACAGCAAGGCGCGTGTTGTTAGCCATGATATACAAACATTCGTGAAACAATTGTTTGAAAAAGTCGGCTTTAATGTTTGCTTAAAAATTGAAATTAAATATTAAGCATCCAGCAGTAGCTTAGTTATAAGAGTTTCTGTACCGAATCAGCAGATTGTTTTTATTAAAAAGTGTTGTAAAACACCAAAATAATTGATTAGAAAAATACAAAAATGTATTCTTGAGCCATAGAGCTATAGTAGAAGCCTGACAACACTTGTAAATGCAAAGCTTGCTTCAAGATATCTTAAAAAAACAAATGAGATTTCATAAAAGAACTTTGTTTTCGACAAACTTGCAACTATTTGATATGGTCGGATCCTGATATATGTATTCACCTGCAACAGTAAGATGAAGCCAAGCAAATAGCTTAGCTGAATAACTAGTTTGCATAGAATGGATTTATTATTTTAGAAAAGTGCACAAGCTTTGAGAACCTTCTCCACCAATTGGAAATCCTTGAAACAACTTAAAGCACGCAAAGAAAGCACAGGGAATAGTTGCATGGAAGCCAGCTTCAGGCATTGCCAAAGCCCACCAGCTGCGAGCTGAATATTTGGTATGCCTTTGACAACCCCTCCTGCGATGCAGTAGACTCTCGCAAAAAACAATTTTACGCATTGCGTACTTGTTGCTCATAAACAAAAACAAAAAAAAAATAGAAGAAAAAAAGAGAAAATTCGCACTGTTGGAAATTGCAAAACAATTCGAAATTGACAGTGAGGCCTGGCCTATCCATCAGGTCCTGGCTCATTGCTGATGCAGGTCTCATCGCAACCTATGAGCATCTATAAGGACTAAGCTCTGATAGTCAATAATTGAAGAGTTGAGATTTCAATGTGGTCGTAACTTTCAGCAAAGGCATAAAAGTTACAATTGCTGCAGAGGCTCACAGACTTTCTTATACTCGTTCACAGTGCGAAAAGCAGTTGATCCGGCAGGTGCAAAGTACTTTGTTTTGAAAGTGAACTGGGAGTGTTGGAATAGCTTAACGATGAAGACTTACAAATATGTGCATGCGGCGTGGAACATCGACAAAATGCATATCTCAAAGCATCCATTCCTGGCCTACTTTCAGCTTTTATTTAACTGTGAACAAAAATTAGTCAGCCGGTTACACCCGACTGGCCTTGCAGCTTGCTTGCAATTGCTGCGTCTCGTTTGCCGTTGCCAAGGTGGACAAGTCAGACAAGGCTGTATTCGAGTGTGCTCGACTGCAACATCCCCTGTACTCATCAGTGAATTTCCTTATACTTCAAATTATAAAATATAGCCCAATGTAGTCAATAATAAAGATGTATAGTATACGAGGTCCTACGTACATTTGGTGCATCTAGCTCCTATAGTTGTCGAGTTATGCTTTAAACAGCAGGTCCTTAAATCGATTGTTATCGATAGATTGGAAATAGGACGAGATATCAACCAAAAAGAAGAAAGTATATATGCTTCAAATTTGAAGTACTTTGAAGAACAGACGGACGGACGGATAGACAGACAGATAGTCAGACAGTTAGACAGACATATGACAGGGAGACAGACATATGACAGAGAGACAGATAAACGGACAGGCGGAAGAACTGACAGACTGACGGACGGTCAGACAGACGGATAGAGGGACAGACAAAGGGATAGAGGGACAGTTGGACGGATTCATGTTCATTTAAATCTCTCATCGCCAATTACATAAACTTGCACAAGACCCACATACCCTTTTTATCTATTTTCAATGAATACAGGGTATTTAAATAACCACCACACACCCTTGCCACATGTTCTTGTGTTTTTATGGTTGACTTTGAGTTGATGCTGCTTTAAAAGAATAACAAAATTAACATTCGCCCCGATGGCAAAAGTTGCAGCCTGGCTGTGTGTGTGTGGGTGTGTGTGGGTGTGTGTGAGTGTGTGCGTGTGTGTGTGTGTGTGTGTGTGTGTGGGTGTGTAGCCAACTTTGCTGGCACAACTTTTGGCCACATAAATTGTCTTTTAATTGCTGGCATGTAAGTCAAAGTAATGCGCGGCAGAAGGGGTGAAGGTTGTGTGCGGGTTAACTAACAACTAAGGCACGTACTATTGGGAGAGTGGTGTGGGGGAGGGGGACGGGGGTTGGCCATTAAGGGCCGAACGGTGCGCGATGCTAACTAAATGAATTGCAAAAGCGATAATTGGCCAAAACTGCAGTGTTGGCCACTTCAAAGAGCCGGCGCTGCCGCTGCGTGGACCTGCCGAGTGCTTGGCCAAGTATTACACGCGATTTGGCAAATGTTTAATTAAACAACCAATTAGGGTTGCCGGGCCAACACCTGAAGAAGCGGCTGGAAATATGCCACGTGCACATTATTAAGCGCTTTCCGATGGGTTATTAAAAACCGTCAAGAGCGTCAAATTAAAACGCCATTAGTTTAGGCCAAATGTTCAGTTGTCAGTTTGTCAAATATGCCAGCCAATCGATCAATCCATCAATCAAACAATTTTGCGGCATTCGTTATTAATGGAATTAAGGCAATTGGTAATAAGGGATTTATTTTTGGCTAACATTTTGTATACTCTATCGATTTGTGGTGCCTAGTTACCTGTACTCAGGCTCCAATTAGGGGGCCTAATATAGGTAAATCCAAGACAAATGACGTGTTAAGCCCGATTCATATATTGATTTTTGTTTGGTTACAAATAGACAATCGCAGCCACAGCAGCCACAGCCAGAAAGTCAAAAGGCGACTAATGTGAATGACAATTTCAATTTAGCAATTTGCATGCTAATGTCATGCGGCAAACTTTATGCCCTTGCCTCAATTTAGCTGTCAACACTAACAATTCGACACACACACACGCATCTGAAGGTATGTGTGTGTGTGTGTGTGTGTGTGTGTGTTGTTTGTTATTTGACAAATGTGTTGCCTTTTAGTTGGTTGTTTGAGTTGGGTACGTGAGCAGCAATATTTAATTCACTTTAACGAAATTCTGTATAAATATCTGAACATAATCAATATAATGCAATTTTATTAATTAATTTAATGGAAAGATGGCCGAGAACTGCACGGAAAGCTCAATAAACAACGCTGCTTTCTATGGAAATTTTAAATAGGAATTTCATATGTCAAAGGGCATATTATACCTTAGATATATGTATTTATCCCAATAGATCGATAAAGAGCAGCTGTCCATGCTTATGTAATAAATATATTTTTTTTTAAACCAGAATTTGCCACAACTGTGGAAAAAAGCCTAGCAAGTATTAAAAATTAAATGATTTAAAAGGCAAAAGCGATCCTTGCAATTCTAAATAATACCTAAATAATCAAGCTTGGGGGGAAGCTTAGAATCAGAAGTTGTGGAAACTATTCGAAATGAGTATGCATTTGTTCTAAAAAATGAATGTAGACAATTTAAATAATGCCAAAAAGAATCAAATTGATTCCCATTGTGCCATGAAATTAAAAAATCATTAGAAAAATCGATGTAGAGAAAACTTGAATCAGAATTTGCGGTAACTCCGAAACGGAGCATCTGCTAACTTTAAAAAATCAATATAGAAAAAAAATCCAGCATTTTTCCCCCATATTAAATTATTTTTTAAAATTTGAAACGTGAAACGTGAAAGAGAAAAAGAGATCTTAAAGTAAAATGGAAACTGTTTAAGCCAACTTTTTGCTGTCCATAAATCTATATAAAATATGTTTCTCACGCGCTCATCTCTTCACTTCTGGCACAGACACTAAAACACGTGCTGTCGCCCTTTGCGTGTGCCATGTTTGCGTTTAGTTTTAGCGCCGGCGGCGCTGAGTTTTCGATTAGCCAGAGATAAGGCAACATTACTCGTTCCAGTGTAGCCTTTATTATATGTTCATTAAATAATGACACGCAGCAGCGAGGAAGCTAACAAAAGCACCGCAGGGCATTGTCAATGCTGTAATTCCATTTGGGTTCTCGGGAATGCCCTTTCATTTATATCAGCCAGGGATGCTGCAGACACCTGGTGGCGGTGACGCGTTTCTTCGGCTCGTACTCGAGCATGGGCGTCAGGAATGAGGCAAAGACCATGGCATTCAGTTTGCACCAATTGTGTTCATCCATCAGCAGTTCCACCAGGCTCTTGGGCTTTATGCCGATGCTGTTGAGCAGCTTGCCGTACGGATTGAAATAGCGCAATGCATCACGGCCCCGGAACACAATCTGATGTGGTATGGGGCCCAGCAGCTCGATGATGCGAGCTAAATGATGCTCTTCGGGCGAAATGGTTTTGTCATAATTTGGCGCAAACAAAAACTTGCCAACGGCCAGCTCAAAGACCATACAGGCCACGCTCCAGATATCGGAAGGCGTTCCACAATCCGAGCCCAATATCGATTCCAGGCAGCGATAGGCACGCGTCTGGATCTCGCCCGCAATGCAACCGTTCATGCCCGAGGAATTCGCAAAGTCGGCAATCTTTATGTGCAGCTTGGAGCACACTTTCCGCTTGTCTGGACAGTTCTCGCAATTGCTTAGCATGCAGGCGGTTACCAGGACGTTCTCCGGCTTAATGTCTGCGTGCACAACTCCCACACTGTGTAAATACTCCAGACCAGACAGAACGCGGCGTGTAATGCACTTGAGCAGCTCCAGAGGTATCATAGCTCCATCATGGCTTTCAGCATATTTGGCCAGATTTGTGTCCATCGCCTCGAGTATCAGGCAGGGCTGTGCGGTACGCGATCTGGTCAGCTGAAAGCCGTCCAAAGCGCGTACAATGTTGTCGAGACGCGGATCCTTTGGTTGGAATGCATGCAAGGATTTAATCGTATTTATCTCGCCGTAAATCAACTGGACACTCATTCCTGTTGTGTCCGCCATTTTCATGACCACATTGCACTTGCTCCTCAAGTCCCAGCAGAGCCAAACGGATGCCAGATGGCTGATCGTTATGATGCTCAAAATATAATAACGTTCTGCATAGGTGGTGATATATATGTCCAATTCTACAGTCAATTCCTCTATAAAACTCACCGTGCAGCAAGTCCCCGATTCGTACTGTGGCACTCTTCTTGCCGTGCTTGGTCATATACCAGCTGGGCAGATCGCTCACCGTGGGCGAACGATACGATTCATTGGGCAACGTCTCACGGATGCTTTGGATGATGGGCCAACGTGGAGTTTCGCCTGGAGGAATTGGACAATTGCGCCCAGTAGCATCTTGCACATTCCCTCTGGGAGTGACGCCTGCATTTTCGGTCTCCTCCATGCTCACCTCGTAACGCGGCGTTTCCTTCGGATCGCGCATGTCGCTGAACGGAACTGGCAACATTTTTCCACTAGAATGGGTTGGCGAGCATTCGCTTTCACTTTCCGAGATGTCCCAATTTGGGGTCTCGTTCAGATTTGGTTTGGACGCAAAGCCGCGGGGCATCGGCAGAATCTTGAGTCCACCTTGCGTAACATCCCAACTGTCGCTGCTCGGAGCTCTGGCCAACCCAGCTTCACCTTCCGCAGATATTGCAGTTGGGGTTTCGTTAACCTTGGCCTTGACCATGCTCTGGCGCACCGGCAAAATATTGACACCACCCCCTGTGACATCCCAGCTTTCACTTTTTTGCATCTTAGACTTAAGGATAAATGTTATTGTTTGTTTGACCTGCGACTGGGGCTTGCGTTTACCTTGGCCTTGGACGCAGCAGCTCGCGGAGGTGGCAGTATTTTGAACCCACCCTCAGTCACGTCCCAACTCTCGGGCTTTTGAATCTTGCACACATCACTCCGAAGTGCTGGGGGGAATCCCCATTCACTTTTTGGCCTTTCGTTCACACACGACTTGGGGAAGCTATCGCATGGAATGTTTACAATTTTCATCGCCTGCATCTGGGCGGTGCTAGCTATGTTTGTTCTGCTTGCGACTGTCTTGGGCATTGGTTTTCGAAAATTATGCTGGTCATCCTGTATCGCCAGATCAGTTTGACAATTGCTCAATTTCCCCTTGGGCTCGGGTTTTCCTAGACTTTTGGCATCTTCGAACTCGAGCTTAGCCAAATTGAGACTTTTAACTTTGTGTTTCTTGCTGGGTTTAATGGTCTTTGGATTTTCAAAGGTGTTATCATATTGGTCGATATTTTTGGGTTTTATGAGACAAGCGCGCTTTTTTCTTATATCCCAGCCCAGCCAGTCTTGTTTATTGCCAAACGGGGCTTCCACAAAATAACGACCTACATATGTTGGCCGCTCGAAATACGTGCTATTTATTTAATATTCTACTTTGTTTACCTTTAATTAGGGAGCCCAGATCGTGTTTACCCCTTTTCCAGGACACATAAACGATATGCTGAAATTCGGAATTATTTAAATTTGTTTGTTTGTATTTTTTAGCACGTTCTTTGAAGCTTTTGCTGCTGGCGGAATTTTTTAGATTTATGCCTTTCATGCTTGAACCTTGACGACAAACTGAATATTTTCGAATTGGCTGGAAGCTATTACGGGACAGTGTTGGCAAACGCCGTACAGGCTCAGTAGGCGGCAAGTTTGATTACGTTGCTTTTTGTAGTAAACTGGCGAACAATAAACTTCGACTTGTACCACAATTAGTTTCAAGCAGGCGAGGCAAAAGCCAAACTAATTGCCACACATGGCACAACGTGACTTTGACTCGGTTCCCATTTGCCACTTCTCTCGAAAGTTAAATTGTGATGAATCTCTCACATTGCTGACGCTAAATCCTTGGATTGTTGCCCGTCCTGCCAGTTGTTGCTGCAGCTGTCGCACGTGCTTCCCCCCCGCCAAACAAGTGTGTATAAACGATGCTTAAGGTAGCTATTCATTATACTCTGCAGCTTGAGGGTATTCCCATTATGCGGGGCCCTTTAAAGCACAGAGAGAGAGAGAGATCAGGAATTTGCAGCTTTCGAAAATCTTTCGCTAACTTGACATTTAATAATTCTCATTTAAGTCCAAAATGTGAATGTTTATGCATGCAACTATCATCTAAGACGAATATCCTAATATTCAATCATGTTTATTTATTGAATTATGAAGAATGAGACCCAGTAAAACAATTCGTAGATATACTTAAATATCACTCTATATCTCCACACTTAAAATTCTTTGGTTTTAATTTATAATAATGAGCTACGCTCCTTTAAAATGATTCGTAGGTTTACTTAAATAACAAATATGTTCTCCATAAATTTATTTTATAGATATAATTAAATTTCTTCATGGAAAATTTGTTTCATGAAAAATGACTTTCAGAATTTAGAATATTTTGGCAAAACAAAATGCACACCAAAACCCAATGCCAAATTTGAGCTCTAATCAACCCAAGTCATATACTGCCTAGTCCAATTTAATGAAAGGATATGGATTCTTCGGCAAACGGATCATATTTGTTTGTTAGTTGTTTGCCTAGTGCTTTGCAATGTTACAGCTGCAGCTGTCTAATGTGGATGGCAAGCGCCGAAAACAGCAAGTAAATCCTTGGAAAGTGCTCGGCATTAGATGCTGGCGTAAATAATAATGTGCTGAAAATCCCGTTTAATGAACTGAAAATAGAAATATCTAAGTACGCACTCGGCAAGTGTGTGTATCTGTGTGTGTGTGTGTGTGTGTGTGGCATGTGGCATGTGGCAGGTTCAAGGTTAAAGTGAGCGCAAACAGTCCTTACACGAGTTGAGTCCTGGAACCGTATACGAATGCCAAGTATAAAGTTTCAAAAGCATGCCAAAAAAAAAAAAAAAGAAACAAGTATGTTGCAGTCGGGCGTAAGCGACTGCAAAATACACTCTGTCAAGTTTTCCGTAAGAATTTCCCGTTCAACCATGTAATTTTAACCTTTTTTCAGAGCCAATCTCAAGTCTCTAGCTTTAAGAGCTAGACACACAAGCCAATATACTCCTTTTGCTTGGTGAGCGGGTATCAAAACAAAAGCAGTAAACACGCGAACGCCCGTTAAAAAGAAAAACTGAAAATGGCGCCCAGTTAAAGAAAGAAATGGGGTCCAAGGCAGGGAGGGAGGACACACGCAAGCTCTGTGGGTCAACAACAGCAGACCTGACCAAGCTCGAAGTCAACTTTTCTTCTTCTTGCTTTTTTTTTTTTTTTTGGAAAAACAACAAAAGGAAAATCCTTTAATGTGCTGCCAGAAGCTAACAAAGGGGCAAAATCAAAGCATAAACTTGAGAGCTGCATACGATTTGAAATTTAATTAATGGAAAAGCCAGCAGCTGCGACTGTCCAATTTAATTGGCTTCCATTAAAATGGGCATACACACTCGCAGATGGACAAATGTATATACATATATGTCAGATATATGTGCTGCATTCGGTATGAGCTATTCATGAGCTGCCAATTCGCATGCAGATATTACTTGTGCGTAATTATATTGGCAACAATTGCGGTCGCCAGCGATCAATTCACAAAGCCACATACGCCATGGTGGCAATCAGCCATATGCAGCTATATATATAGTATATACATATATGTAGTTGATATGTTTACAGGGATATATTGATATACATATATAGCACATGCAGACCAGCAAACAGTTGAGCTGGCCACACCTCCACTTGAACTAGCCGCCCCTGCCCACACGCCCACCCATTTCTGATTCCTGAAGGTCCTGCCAGTGTGTATTTCGTCATTTTGACAGTTACTCCGGTATGTTTATATACATATATATCTTGTGTCGGTTGCGGTTTCTGTGTTTACTTTAACTTTGGCATTTAGCTGTTTTTTGGTCCTTCGGGGGCCAATTAAGTGAATTATTTAATATACAACTGGCGTATCTAAATCATAAAGCCTTATGCTAAGCCAATGTCTAAATTTGTTTAAGCTGCATTGCAGCTTTTAACTGAGCGCTTTACGCCACGTTCTGCCACAAACTGTGGCATGCTGTGGCAAGGCTACCACAGGAAAAAAAACGGAAGAGTGCACAAGTCTGTAGGGCATGATATAGAGATACCCTGTAGCAGGCTCCAGTTGGATATGTATTTGTTTTCTTTACCTGTAACAGTTGCAGTTCTTGCCTGGCTAACTCTATTTATGCTTTAGCATATTTGTTCGACTTATCCAATAATCTGAAATAAATGTTGGGACCTCATATTATTTGAAGCCCCTGCTCATAAATTTCCCATTATAGTTTCGTGATACTTTACTCCAATTTATACATTGCTGTACCTTTTCATAGGAAGTATATTTGCAGCCCGCAAACCTTAATTTCTGAAATTTATTTTACATTACTTCAGTAAAGTTCCTATTTTATAGCCCGCATATCTTGCAAATTCAGCTAGTTTATGTTAATAAGTGTAAATGTACTTTATAGGGTTAAACGTGCCGCATCGTGTCCGTTTTGCATGGATACCCTTCTATTTAGATTTTATGTTTGACATCTGGATAACTGGAGGCAAGGTCACGTTCGACGTTTTGTTAAACATTTCGATACCATTCACGTTTCATCAAAATTGAATATGCTTATTTATTTATGCGACTCTTTTAATATGCAGCGCACTCATTTCAATGGAATTGAATAGCACAAATACAGATAGAAAGACGGACAGATAGACGGGCAGCCAAGCAGCTGGGACAGTTTGACAGCAACTGAGGATCGTTGTCGGGGCGGATTACACAAACATTATGCATATGACATTTGGCAAAGCATATATTTGCTGTTGCTTCAATTAACAAATAAACAGGCAGTGAAATGGTTTTGTTGTGCAAAATGTTACGTGTTTCATAGCATTACCAGCTAGCTGCTAAGTATGCAAAATTTTCAGGTGTGTTCTCAAAGTGAAAAACGCTTTCAAAGCGCCAACATTTGGTTGTGTTTAATGTTCAGTTTGAGGAGAATTTTTTATTGATAAATTGTATACAATTATTGTGAGTTTAATCTGCTTTCTTTCATTTATTTTTCCGTTGCTTGTCCCTAGTAATTCGCAACTAGTTAAAGCTACGACAATAAGGGGTCGATAGAAAAGTGTGCTGGAATGGGCAGGTGCTTGAAATAGCGTGAAATAGGCAATCTACTCTCTATGCTCTTGATTTTGTTTATTATATTGCCGAGAAGTCTGACTACTTTCTATATTTGTCTATTTTTTAACTATTCTTGAGATTTCATTATGAACAGATATTACCCGAGGTGAAACTAAGCAGAAGAAGAACTCTAGAGTGCAGCCATTTACTGAAAGTTATGTTTAGTGAATTACATGTTACATATTAACCGACTTAAGCACACACGCTGTAAGTCTTTGTGTGTTTGTTGTGCAGGTAGTCTGCATATGTACCTATACAGATATAGCTAAGGGTATGGCAATATCTATTCAGGCGCTTACGTCAGGCCATGTAACGCCTTTTGCCGGCTGCAGTTGAAATGTAAATCGAACTTCCATTCGGCAAGGACAAACGCTGAGTATGAGGGAAGTTGAGGGGGGGGCAAAGAGGTGGCAACTGATGGGGAAAAAGGGAAAGCCAGCGAGTTGCCAGCCAGCAATCAAGTGGAAAGCTCACAGCGTGTACATTTTAGAATGGGGTTAGGGTTCGTATTCAGTTTAGGTTTTGCGCTGGTTTGGCCTGGTGGGCTGGGCTAGGTTATATTTAATTCATTGACGCTCTACTTCAACGTCAATGCCCCCCGCAGAGCATAGTAGCTACTTCCTAGGCAGGGCACGACAACGACAACGACGACAACGTCGAGCTGTCTGCCAAGCTAACTTGGACTTGGGGCTTGGAGCTGACGCTCTAGCTTCTTGCGCAAGTCTTGCTGTATTACATATTTACATTTTTGATGGCTTCTCTGCTACGTTGCGGCTGGCAAAAGTTTTCTTTTTGGGGTTTTTATATTATTTTGTTGTTTTGTTTTGTTTTGTTTTTTTTTTTTTTTGTTTTCTTGTCATTCCATTCCTAACATGCAAGTGTTGTTGTCTAGAAGAAGCGGCACCGGCATTTCCGCATGCTTTTTTTGCCATCTCAATTAGTTGGCTGACAGGACAGCGAACGGAAATTGTTAGCTATTTGCATGATAAATAAGAAAACTGTTAACTTAATTGCAGCTTTAAGATATTCGCAACAAGTGCAGCCCAGGAACGCAATCAATATGAAAGGCTTTTGCCATCTTGCGGTGCTGGCGACGGCAAAAGTGCAATTGCAATTGCAATTGCCAGCACGGAATCAGGCGCTTCGGAACAGGATGTAGGCATGCACATAAAGCGCCACGCCCCAACTTGGCGATAATCGTGCAAAGGCATTTGAAAATTTTCCATAAATCCACTTGGCCTGCAATGAAAATATGATGAAAAGTACACATAAAACGCACGCGACACACAAACAAACGAAGAGCTCTCAGGTCGCTTGCCTTGAGCCTAACTGAGCTACGGCTGAGCTCACACAATGGCAATCGATGGGGCATGGCAAAAGGAATTTGTAATGGTGCAATGACTTATGGCGCACTGGCTGCAGCGACAAATAAAA